AAGGACGACGGCGAGCCCCAGGTCCTCTTCGACTTCAAGCCCAAGGATGACGCGGCGGACGACGACGACTGGTGAGGGCAACGTTTGAGATGGTGTAGTGCAAGATCTGTGCAACAGAGCAGTTTTGGGAGAGCCGATGTGTCGCAGCTTGCGCTGACCTCATGAACCCGGAGGCGGTCGCCTTCGTGCCGGCGGCATCATTGCCGCCAGCGCCTGCGCAGAAGCGGCGCGCGCGCACGAGGCGAAAGCCGCCACCGAGCGCCGCCGAGCCCGAGGAGCCGCGGCGCAGGAGCCGGCGCAAGCCCCGCGCCCAGGACGCGGCGCCGGAGCCGGAGACACGGCGCAGGCACCGGCGGAAGCCGAAGGGCGCGGCTCCGCCGGCGGCCGCCCAGGACGCGCCGCTCCCGGCGTGGCCCGCGCGCGACGCGCCGCCGCTGCGGCCGGCGCCGGCGCCGGCCGCGGCGGCGCCCGAGGCGCCCGCGTGCCGGACCGTGCGCCCGTCGGGCCGGCGCCTCGCCGCGGGCCGGGAGCGCTGGCGGCGCGAGGAGGCGGACTGGCGCCGCGCCGAGGCCGAGCGGCGCCGCGCCGAGGCGGAGCGGCGGGGCATGGCCGCGGAGGAACGGCGGACGCCGCCGCCGGCGCCGCCGCCGGCGCCGGACTACTCCTCCGACTCGTCGGCGACGTCCGTGTCCTCGCTCGGCTCCGCGGACCTCGAGGCCGCCGTGTCGCGCGGCGACGCGGCGGCGATCGCGGCGCGGCGCCGGCCGCCGCGCGCGGCGCTCTTCGTCGCCGCCGCGCGCCGCGGCGACGCGCGCGTCCTCCGCGCGCTGCTCCGGGCGCCGCGCGGCGGCGCCGTCGGCGCGACCGTCGACGGCGCGACGGCGCTGCACGCGGCGGCGGGCGCGCGCTGCGCCGAGTGCGTCGCCGCGCTGCTCGGCGCCGGCGCGGACGTTTTCGCGCGCGACCGCCGCAACGAGACGCCGCTCCACCGCTGCTGCGCGGGCCCGCCGGACGACGACGCCGCGGACGTCGCGCGGCTCCTGAGCCGCCATCCGCCGCGAGGCGCGCGCCGCTGGCGGCTCCTCGACGCGCGCGAGAAGGCCGGGGGCTGGACGGCGCTCCGCGTCGCCGTCGAGGCGCGGCGCGCGCGTTTAGACGGCGACGCGGGCCTCGAGGTCGTCGACGCGCTGATCGAGGCCGGCGCGTCGCCCGCGGTACCGGACGCGCGGGGCCGGTCGCCGCTCGCCGTCGCCGCGGCCGAGGGCGACGCGGCCCTCGCGGTCGCGCTCTGCGACGGCTCGCTGCGGCCCTTCGCCAGGGCCGAGGAGAGCCCCGCGGGGCCGCTGCCGCTCCAGGAGGCCGTGCGGTCCGGCGACGCCGCGACCGTGGACGCGCTCGCGGCGAGCGGCCGCGTCGACCTCGACGCGCGCGAGCGCGGCGGCGACATGGACACGGCCCTCACGGCGGCCGCGCGCGCGGGCCGCGACGAAGCGGTGCGCGTTTTGGTCGACCGCGGCGCGGACGTCTTCCGCGCGAACGGCCGCCAGCGGACGCCGCTCTTCCTCGCGCTCTCGCTCCTGCCCGAGGGCGACGGCCCCGCGCCGACCGTCGAGGTCCTCGCGCGCGCGGCCCTCGCGAAGCGCGCGGCCCGCCCGCGGGCCGGGGGCGCGTCCTTCTTCGCGACGCCGCTCTGCCCGGCGTCGTCGCGGACGCCGCTGCAGCACGCGCTCCGCTGCGGCCGCGCGCGAGCGGCCGCGCTCTTCGTGGGCCTCGGCGCGCCCGTCGACGTCCGCGCGGTCCTCGCGGGCGCCGACGCGGCCGAGGTCGAGTGGGATCGGCTGTCGGCCGACGGCGTCCTGAGCGGGAGCGCGCGCGACCTCCGGGCGACCATGGCCGCGCTCCTCGCGGCCACGGACGCCGGCGACGGCGACGTCGACGTCGAGCTCGACGGCGGCGCGGACCTGCCGGCGCACGCCTTCGTGCTCGAGGCGCGGTCCATGGGCGGCCCCTGGCGCGGCGTCGGCCGCGAGGCCGCGGTCGCCGCGCGCGAGTACGCGTACACGGACGCCGTCGACGGCGTCGACGTCGTCAACGCGGATCAGATCCACGCGCGGCCGTGCAAATACGGCGACGCCGCGCTCCTCGAACTGCTGTCGCTCGCGCGGCGCCTCGGCCGCGAGCGCGAGGACCTCGCCTACGTCGCGTGGGCGCGCCTCGTCGCCCGGGGCGTCGGGGCGGCGAAGCTCGGGAAGCGGCCGTGCTCTCACGGGTCGCCCCTCCTCCAGGACCTGTGGAGGCACGCGAGGCGGCACGGCATTCCCGTGTCGAGCCGCGGCGACGTCGTCGGCCGCGCGCACGCGCCGATCCTCGCGGAGTGCCTACCCTTCGTCGGCGGCCTGCTGCGCTTCGGGGCGGGCGACGCCGTCGACGTCGGCGTCGACGCCGTGTCGCTCAAGCAGGCCCTGCAGTACGCCTACGGCTGGGGCCCGGTGCCCCAGCTGGGCCCGGCCGCGCTCCTCAAACTTGTCAGAGCCGCCGACCTCTTTTGCTGCGCGGGTCTCCGGGACGAGGCCGCGGCGCTCCTCGCGCGATGGGTCGCCGGCCTCGAGACGGAGCACGGAGCCCGGGACAAGTTCGGGCCGCGGATTCCGGACGTCGACCTCGCCGTGCGCTGCCTCGACGTCGCCGCGACGTTCGACCTGCCCCTCCTGCGGCGCACCTGCGCCCGCGTCGTCCTCGAGAGCCTCGACCGGCTCGGCGACGTCGACCTCGGCGGCGTCTCGCGGGCCGACCTCGTCTGCCTGGCGCTCACGGGGATCAGCGCGGTTGCAGCACGTTAGAGAGCTAGTTTAGTATGTCCCATCGCTGGTGGGAGCGGGAAGACCTAAGAAGAAGTCGAGATTCTCCGAGTCGGCCGCCGCAAGAAGCAGTCCGAGAGAGCGGAGCACAAGCTCCTGGGCCGCGAAACTAGCGCGGCTTCCCAGGCCTTGATGTCGGCGATGTTTTGTGTGGACTTGACGAAGTCATCAAGGTATTTGGTCTCGGCCCCACGCAGCTCAGCGGCCCGTGCCGAGTCGCGCGCCACCTCCTCCGCCTTCTTCGCTGCCGCCACCGCGTACTTGGAAAGATTTTCCGAAGCCTTGGCAGCTTCGCGTGCCGACGTCACATGCCGCTTACTCTTCAGCATCGTGACCAAGGCCTTGGCGCTTTCATGCGCATCCTCGGCACATCGCGACGCTCGCTCGGCATGACCCACGGCCGTCGCCATGTCCTCAAGAGCTGCCGCCTCCTTTTCTGCCGCCGCCGTCGCCTCCTCCGTTGCCTTCGCCGCCAGCGACGTGGCACGGGAAATCAAGTTCTCATCCGCAGTTTTTGCCGCGTTCACCGCATTCTGCGCGTTAACCGCCGCCTCGCGCGCGGCGATCAAGACCGCGACGGCCCCTTTAAACGCCGCGGCCTCTGGGGGGCCGCTCGCCGCCGCGTCGCGCCAAAGCGCCTTTTGCCACTCGTCCCGCCGCGCGACAGAACTCGACTTCAAAAATTCGTGCGCGGCCGCCGAGACGCGGTCCGCCGCAGCCACGGCCGCCTACGAGAACGTCCGTCGGGGCACTGAGGCTTCAGGATCAAGACGCGGGAAGGACACCTTCTCAAACGCAGAGTCGAGGACGTCGAAGAACTCGCTGAAGAGTTCCGATTTGATGCCATGCGACTCGATGGCGAACCACTCAGTTTCTATATCGATCTTCTCCTTACCGAACGCGGATTTGAATTCCTTGACGCGAATTTCTTGGAGACGAGGCAAATTCTTGAGCACGTTGTCGACTCCCATTTTCCCCGGTGCCTTGCCCTTGTTTTGCTGCTTATCTTTTTTAGGATCCGAACGGCCAACTTGCCACGGCCCACAAACGACGACGAGCCCGACGACCTCGAGACCCGGCGTGTGCGTCGTGTAAGCTTTGAAGCGGCCCTGTTGGCCACCATGACGAAAGAACCCCTTAACGCTGTCTTTGGCATGCCCGACTTTCAAGTAGCCCCCGTCGCGGATCATGTAGAACTTGTCGATGACGACGTCCTCGCTCTGGGAGGAAGCAGTAAAAGTCACATCGTCCTCGGCGCCGCCCAACACCTGGTCGCCAGTGAAGACGACGCATTGACCCGAACGGAGGGTGATTTCTCGCGCCATCGCCGACGATTTACGATGTCGAGCGTCCTCACTTACCCCGCCTCTTGAGCGCTTGCGCTGCGACCAAGTGCCCGCACGCACAGCTGTACAGTGGCGATTCTTGGCGACATCGGCGACATCCATATGTCCGTCCAGAGACGTTCCAACTAACCGCTATTACACCGCCGGAGGCTCGCCGAGTAGGCGCGGAGGAGCGCGGCGCCGAACTCGTCCGGGCTGATCTCGCCGTTGTGGTCGCTGTCCGCGCGCTCGAGGATGTCGTCGACCGTGGCGTCGGAGATGCCCGGCCGGATGCGCTTGAGCGTGTCCCGCAGCTCCCCGGGCTGGATCGCGCCGTCGCCGTCGACGTCGAAGAAGGCGAAGGCGCAGGCCATCGACTCCCGGAAGGGGGCCTCCAAGAGGTATCGCCTTCCGTAGGCCTCCGCGAAGTCCTCCGCCGTGAGTTCGCGGCCGCGCTCGAAGAGCGCCTCGAAGGCCTCGCGCTCGCCGTCGCCGAGGAGGCCCGAAGCGCGGTCCGCGGCCTCGCGCGGCGTCGGCGCGCCGATGGCCTCGAAGGCCGCGGCGATGCCCGGCGCCTGGAGGGGCTTCGAGAAGTCGCCGCGGAGCGCGCCGCGGACGAAGCGGTCCGCGATGTGGCGACGCCGGCCCTCCCGCGACCGGAATTCGAACTCGGCGGCGATGGGCACGTGGTCGGAGGGGTGCTGCTCGTCGGGGATGCAGCCGGCCGCGCGCGGCGCGTCGGGCACGGCGACGAGGCGCAGCGCCGCTTCGGAGTGCATGATGTAGTCCTACCGAGCACGACGGTGACGATTTTCCCCCCACCCCAAATCTCTCGAGACTCGTCACGGCCACGGGACGCTGGTCGACGCGATCCTATTTCGCCTGAGCAACGTCGACGACGTGCTCCGCGTGGGCACGTCGACGGAGAAAAACAGGAGCGGGTGCACGGGCGCCGCCTCCAGGCGGCACGTCGCCTGCGCGACGGCGCGGATCTCCTCGAGCGACTCGGAGTTCCAGTCGCCGCCGACGATCGTCGCCTCGAGGGGGTCGACGCCTACCGAGCACGACGGTGACGATTTTCCCCCCACCCCAAATCTCTCGAAGTTCGTCACGACCACAGGACGCCGGTCGACGCGGAAGTCGACGGCGAAAGCGCTGGAGCTCGTCCATGAGCTGGGCCACCTGGCAGAGCCGCACCGCGTGCTGCTCCCGGCTCTCCGGGTTCCTCGCCAGATGCGTCGAGATGAAGAGGCAGCGGTCGCCCGAGGGTTCGTAGCGGAGCAGACAGAGCAGCGCGCCGCGGTCGCGCGTCCGGCAGCCGTCGTCGTCGTAGTGGATGCCCCGGTGCGCCTCGAGGCTCCAGTCGTCCCTTCGCCACGCGACGCAGCAGCCGTCCGGCGAGCTCGACCGCGGCCGCTTGAAGAAGAGGCTCCCGTAGCCCTGGGCCTCGAGCGCGGGCCGCCAGAACGCGTCGTACTCGTCGACCTCGACGAGCGAGAGCAGCCCCGCGTCGAGGCGCCGGATCGTCTCCACGAGCTTGGGCCCGCGGACCTCGAACGGAAAGTGCCGGCGGTCGATGTCCTCGACGCGGCGCACCTCGTCGTCGGTGAGGATGCCCCGGACGTAGTTCGGCCACCCGGCGTGCAGGAAGTTCCCGGCCTCGTCGCGCGCGCTGTGTTTTTTTGCAATTGCCACAGCTCTCGGGTCCTCGGAGCCCTGCAAAGCGCCGTAGAGGAACCAGGGCTCCGTGTTCGCCGCGTAGCGCTTCGCAAGGACATTGTATTGCGCTACTCTGAACGTCGAAAGGAGGCGCCGCGCCGGGACCGGCGGAGGCCACCGAGCGTGCCGCGCCAGGCAGCCCCTGTAGACCATCGTGTACGCAAGAAGCAAACGTTGGCTTCGCGCGCCAAAGCTGCCCCTCGCAAAGCGCATGATGGCAGCCCAACGATTGTTGTATATACCCTGAAAAAAACGATGTACAAAGCCGTGGTGTTCGTGCTTGTTCTCGCCGCGCTCGTCGCGTTCGTCGCCTTCGAGTCGCACGTGGCGGCGATCTCGAAACCACGCGCCGCCGGCGACGCCGGCCCCTGGCTCGCGGCGCGCGAGGCGTCGGACGCCGTCGCGGCGTCCGAGGGCGGCGACGCGCCGCCGGCGGCGGTCGCCGCGTCGTCCGCGGCGCTCGACGACGACGAGGACGACCGGCCGCCCCTCGTCGCCGGCGCGCCGCCGCCCGAGGGCCCGCCGTGCGACGCGGCGCGCGTCCGCTACTGGGCCGGCGGCCTCCCGGGCGACGCGGCGCTCGTCGCGTCGGGCCGCGTGCCGCCGGCGACGGCGCCCGAAGCACCGCGCTACCTCACCTTCGTGCCGGACCTCGGCGGCTGGAACAACGTGCGCCTCGGGCTCGAGAACGCGCTGGTCATCGCGCGGTCGTCGGGCCGGATTCTGGTCCTGCCGCCGCCCCAGACCTACTACCTCCTCGACGCGAGCGAGCGCCTGGGCCTCGAGGACCTGCTGCCCGCGCTCGTCGGCAGCCCGGACCGCGCGGCCGTCATCGCGGCCGCGGCCTTCGTCGAGGACGCGGTGCCGCGGCTGCGGCGCGAGGGCCGCTACGCGCGGCCCGCGGCGCGCGGCGGCGGTGCGCCCGGCCCGCCGCCGGCGAACGCGACGGCCTTTGTGCGCGGCTGCCACCCGACGCGCAAGGCGCCGGACAGCTGCTTCGGCTTCTACGATTGGCTCGAGGACGCGTTCGGCGACGGGGCACGAAAAGGGCGCGAAATTCCCAACTTCAAAGGCTCCTATCTCGGCCGGTTCCCACTCGTTTCGGCTGATTTTTCGACGAGCGATCATCCCTCGGAGAGTTCTCGAAGCGTGGATGTTTTCCTTTGAAACGCGCGCGCGCGGAACGCTCACGTTGAAGCGACGTTGAATCACCCGCCCAGGTTCGGGAACGGCTTCGCGCCGAACGTCGGCCGCGAGTGCCTCGCCTTCGGCGATCCGCCGGAGGCGCGCCTCGCCGCGGCCTGCGGGCCGCGGACGGCCGTCGACGGCACCCCGCGGGCGCGCATCGACGGCGACGCGCTCTTCGGCGGCCCGGACGCCGTGTTGCACGTCCGGTCGTCGGGCGCCGCGACGCACCACGCGGCGGCCGTGCGCGCGAACCGCGCGGCGGCGCTGCGCGGCGAGGCCGTCAAGCCCATCGAGCAGAACGCCCTGGGCCGCCTCCTCGCGCCGCCCTGCGCCTACGTCGTCCACGGCGACGCGGCGACGGCGAACTTCTACAAGCGTCTCGTCCGCGACTTGGTCCGGCCCTCGGAGCGCGCGACGTGCGCGGCGCTGCGCGTCGTCCGCTGGCTGCGGGGCGTGCGAAAGCGCGGGGGCACGTTCTCGTCGGTCCACGTGCGGTCGACGGACTTCCAGTACGCCGAGGGCCGCGCGGACTGGGCCGTCGTGTCCCGCGCGCTGGCGCCGCGCGAGCCCGTCTTCGTGGCCACGGACGACGACACCGGCGCCGTCGCCGCGCCGCTGGAGCGCGCGGGCCACGCCGTCTTCACGCTGGCGCCGCTCGTGCGGGCGGCCCTCGGCGGGACGCGGCCGAAGCGCGCGACGCACTGGCCGGACAAGAAGGTCCTCGACGCGCTCAAAGCCGTCAAGCGCGCGGAGGTCGGCGTCGTCGACGCGCTGATCGCGGCCGAGGGGCGCACCTTCACGGGGGCCTGGTTCTCGACGTTCACGGGCTTCATCCACCGCGTCCGGGGCTACCGGGGCTACGCGGACAACAGCTCCTTCTTTAGCGCCGCGGGCCGCTGGGCCGCGTTCCAGGGCTTTGAGGCGCCGCGGACGCCGCTCTACATGCGCGAGTGGCCCGCGGCCTGGCGGAATATCGACTCCGACGGCGACGCGGCGCCCTATCCCGGCGAGCGCGTCTTCGACGAAATCGACCCGGCGGAGGGCTACCCGACGGACGCCGTGCCGGAGGGGTTGTTGGCGCCGAAGCTCGAGGCCTGCGTTTTACCACAATCCATGCGCTACTGGCGTGCGCCCGGGTCGGGCGCCGCGGATGCGCGCCTGCTCCGGGACCCGGAGGCCGTGCCGCGCCTCGCCGGCGACCGCTTCTTGACGTTCGTGCCGGACCTCGGCGGCTGGAACAACGTGCGCCTCTCCTTCGAGAACGTGCTCGTGCTGGCGCGGTCCACGGGGCGCACGCTCGTGCTGCCGCCGCCCCAGACCTACTACCTGCTGACGAACTGCAAGCGGAACTGCGTCTTCGGCTTCGACGACTTCCTCCCGGCGCTCCTCGACGTCGACGATTTGGTGATCACCGCGGCGGCCTTCTTCAAAGACGCGCTCCCGGCGCTCCACGCCGCGGGGCGGCTCCGAAGGCCCGCGCGGCGCGACGACGGCGGGTCGCCCGTCGCCTGGCCGCCCGAGGACGCGCGGGTCGTCGACTACGCCGACGGCTGCACGCCGACGCATCTGGCGCCCGACTCGTGCTTCCCGGCCTACTTCTGGCTCGAGGACGCCTTCGGCCTGCCGGACCACATCCCGGACGTGGGCCAGCAGTGCGTCGTCTTCGGGGAGGCAAGGGCGCGGCGCCTCCGCGGCGACGGCTTCGTCGACGAAAGGCTCGACGACTTCTGCGCCGTCCGCACGTCCATCGCGCCCGGCGTCGAGCGGAGCCGCGTCGACGGCGACGCCCTCTGGGGCGACGCCGAGTCCGCCGTGCTCCACGTGCGGAGCTCCGGCGTCGCGACGCACGAGCACGACAAGTGGCGCGACAAGAAGGTCGGCCAGGGGGGACCGCAATTGGAGCCCGCGCGCATGGGAAGATTGCTGGCCCCCTGGTACGCCTACGTCGTCCACGCGGACCCGGCCGTGGCCAACTTCTACAAGCGCCTCGTGCGGGACGTCGTGCGCCTCGACGAGCCCCGCGTGACCTGCGCGGCCGCGGGCGTCGTCGCGTGGCTGAGGTCGGCCTACGGCGGCGCGTTCGCGTCCGCGCACGCGCGGCGCAACGAGTTCCAGTTCAAGGAGACGAACGCCCAGCTCGGGGCCGTGGGTTTGCGGGACGTGCTCCTGCGCGTCGCGCGGCCCGGCCAGGCGCTTTTTTTGGCGACGGACGAGAAGAACGCGTCGTTCTTCGACCCCGTGCGCGCGGCCGGGCGGCCCGTGGTGCTCCTGAGCGAGCTCCTGGCCTACGGGTCGAGCCGGCAAGACGGCGGCCGGCGGCCCGACGGCGCGCCCTGGCCGCCGCGGGACCTCGCGGAGCGGCTGCTGGAGCTGAACGGCAACGAGCTCGGCTTCGTCGACGTGCTCGTCGCCTCGCAGGGCGCGACGTTCACGGGCTCCTGGTTCTCGACCTTCACGTCCTTCATCCACCGCCTCCGGGGCTACGGCGGCTTCCGGGACGCCGACTCCTACTTCACGGCGCCGGACCGGTGGGCCGCGTTCCAGGGCTTCGAGAGGATCCGCTCGCCGCTCTACATGCGCGAGTGGCCGATGGCCTGGCGCGGCATCGACGGCGACGAGGAGGCGGCGCCCCTCCCCGGGGAGCGCGTCTTCGAGCCCGGCGTCGCCAAGGACGGCTACCCGACGGACCACCTCCCGCCGGCCGCGCTCTTGGCCGCCACTTGAGGTAGATGTTTGAGCAAGTTTGCTGGCTTCTTGCCGTTTTTTGCTGGCGTCGTCACCCTGGTGAAGAGCCCCGTGCTTCGATGGAAGCCCCCATTGTGGAAGACCCGTCGGCGGCCGCGGCCACGTCGCGGCGGCCGCGCGCCGCGCTCGCCGCCGCGTGCGTGTGCACGCTGCTCGTTTTCTGCGCGCGCATCGACGGGCTGCCCCGGGCGGCCCTCGCCAGCGGCACCAACGCGCTCACCTTCGACTGCGAGTCGCCCGCGGCCGAGCTCGTCTGCGCCGCGGCGCTCTCCGGCGCCGAGCCGGGCGCGACCTACGAGCTGACCTTCGTCTACCGGCGCAAAGGCGCGCCGGCCGCGCTGCGGAGCCGCCCACTGAACGCGACGGCGGACGCGGCCGGGTCGCTCTCCGGCCACCTCTTCCGGCTCCGCGCGCGCGCCGCCTACCGCGTCGAGGCGACGGCGCTGCGCGGCGCGCGCGACATCCGCGCGTCGTCCACGCTCGTCGCGCCGGCGTTCCGCGGCGGCGCGACGTTCGACGGCACCGACCGCTTCGCGACGAAAGTCGACGGCAACGCGTCGGCCCTCGAGCTCGTGCTCATGGGCGCGACCGTCGGGGACGTGGCGTCCGACGGCTGGCGCGGCCTCGTCGCGGTGGACGCCGAGGGGTACGTGGTCTGGGGCCTCGCGAAGAACGCGTTGTGCGCGTTCGCGAAGCTCGAGGACCACCGCTTCGTCGTCAGCTCCGTGCCCGCGATGGCGGGCGCGCAGCCCGAGTGCGCGTCGCAGAGCGTCTTTCGGGACGGGCGGTCCCTCACTTCCCGCCTCGAGGTCTTCGCGCCGTCGGGCGGCCTCGCCGGCGGCGTCTTCGCCGAGGCGTGCGTCGGCGAGCCGAAGAATTATAGAAGCCTGTCCCACCTCGTCGCGCCGTCCGTCGCCCTGAAGGAGGAGTCGATACTCACGGTCGAGAGCCGCGTCGAGCTCTACGAGTCCGGCGTCGTCGTCCAGAAGGCCGCGACGAGGGCCGCGCGCGTCGACCGCGTCGTCCGCTGGGTCCCCGGCAATGACGCCGTCGCGACGGTCGTCGACCTCGCGTCGACCTTCCCCGCGGGCGCGACGCGCGACTACGAGCCGGCGACGATCTTCGAGGAGAACGACCTCACCTGCGACGGCGGCGAGCTCAGCCGCCACGTGCCCTACTGGATGCACGCGGACGGCGTCTACGAGACCGCGGCCGGCGGCGTGCTCGTGTCCGTCCGCAACTTCAACGCCGTCGCGCTCTTCGACGCAAACGGCGGGCTCGCGTGGACCCTCGCGGCGCCCCACGGCGGCTCGGGCGGCGTCGCGTCGAACTTCACGTTCGCCGACGATGCCGAGGCCTTCTACGCGCCGCACGCGCCCGTGCTCTCGGCGGACGGAAACCGCCTCTACGCCGTCGACGACGGCACGGCGCGGCCGGGCTGCGCGAAGCAACGGGACCACGTCTTCGTCCAGTGCTGGTCGCGCGCGGTCGCCTACGACCTCGACTTCGACTCGATGACGGCGGCGCTCGCCTGGGAGGTGGAGCTGCCCGAGGGCTTCGGCGAGGACGGTTTCGCGGCGGCGGACGCCTACAACCCCGACGGCGGCCGCGTCGTGCCGCTGGCGACGCCGGGCTACGTGCTCGTCGCCTTCGGCAACCTCCACGACAACGCGCGCGACGCGGCCTTCGGCCAGGACTCCGTCGTGCTCGTCTACGACGAGGTCGCGGCGCGCGTCGTCTTCGAGCTCCGGGCGCCGCGGAGCCACTGGCTCGCGGGCGACTTCACCTTCGAGGCCGTCGGCAGCATCGCGGGGGAGGCGAGGCACCGCGTGTAACGTTTTTTGCCGGGTTACCCGTCCGGCGTCGCGCCCGCGGCGACCTGCCCCAGGAGCCACTGGACGAACCAGGCGCGCGCGGCCAACGCGGCGACCCTCGCGCGCCGGTCGCGCCGGCGGCAGACGCGGGCGACGGCGTCGACGAGGCCGTCGAAGGACGACGAGTCCAGGTTCGTCTCCGCCACGCCGAGCCCGGCCCGGCGGATCCCGAGCGCCGTCACCGGCCCGTGGGCGACGACGTCGACGCCCGCGAACGCGTCGAGGTCGCAGGCCGCCGCCAGGGCGTCGATCTCCGCCGTGCTCGTCACGGCGACGACGTCGACGGTCCCCGCGCGGATCGCGCCCGCGGCGACGCCGTCGGCCGTCGCCCGCGTCTCGTAGGCGTCGACGCGCGCGACGCGAAAGCCCGCGGCGGCCAGCGCGTCGCAGAACTCGGGGACGACGGGCGGCTCGACGAGCGGCGGGACGACGCGCGGCACGGGCGCGCAGACGACCGTCGCCGCGCGCGCTTCCGGAGGCACGCGCGCCGCGAGCGCCGCGACGAGCCCCTTCGGCGACGGGTCCTCCGGCGACACGACGTCGCCGACGCCCGCGGCGTCGAGCGCCTCGCGGTCCGCGCCGAGCGCGTAGCACGGCAACGCCCGGACGCGCTCGGGGGCCGCGGCGAGCGCCGCCTCGACGCCGCGGCGCGACGTGAACGCCACGATATCGACCGGCCCGCGCAGCGCCGCGCCGAGCGCCGCGAGGTCCGCGCCCTCCAAGTGGCTCGTGGCGATCGTCGCGCCGCGGCGCACGTCCACGTCATCGAGTCGCGCCAGCTTCGCCGCGAGGCGCTCGGCGTACGCCGGCGGCGACGTGATCAGCACCCGTTGCCGCTGCCTCGCGCACGCGCTTGTCGCGAGCAGCGCGAGCAAGAGCCGCTTTCGCATGCGCGAGACGCGCCGTGGCGAGGACGAGGCGACTTTCGGCAAGTTCGATGTCATGGTCGATGAGGGCCGCCTCCTCGGCGAGCACGATGTCGGTCAACGCTTCTTCCTCGTACGCGAGGGCGTCCAGGTCCATAAGACGACGGTTGATTACGCAGGGTTGTGGTTCTTCACGAATTCAAGCGACGACGGTGATTGCGCAGGGGCGCCCGGGATTCAGCGGCAGAATTCAAGCCCATGCGCTTCGAATTGCCTTCTCGTGTTGAAGGTCAACTAAAGTTCAACCGAGACGCATGGGCAGCCCAAACACCGCCTGATGGACGACGACGGCCTCGCGGCGCCGCCGGCGAACGCGAGCGCCTACGCCACCTTCGTGCAGTACGGCGACGTGCGCTCCGCGTCGACGTTCCAGTTCATGGCCGTCTGCCTCCTGGCCCACCTCGCCCACGGCCTCGGCACGTCCTCCCGGCGGCGCGTGGCCTGCCGCTTCGCCGGCGACGTCACGGCGGCGTCCCTCGCGACGCTGCGGCGCGGCGAAACCGCCGGCGACGACGTCGTCGTCGTGAAGACGCACCGGCTCAACGGCGTCGGGCGGACGTGCGTCGACGGCTGCGATCCGCGGGCGCCGCGGTGGGGCCGCGCGGCGCCGGCGCCGGCGCCGGCCGGCTACGCCGTGCCCGCGTCGCTCCTCTTCGTCTCCGTCCGCGCCGGGTCCGCGCGGGCCCAGCTCGCGGCCGCGGGGCCGCTGCCTCCCGCCATGCGGCTCGCGGCCGTGCAGCGCTACGAGACGCTCGAGCGCGGCGGCCTCGCGGCGCTCGACGCCTACGCGCCGCTCTTCCCCGCCGTGGCGCCGGCGCGCTTCGCGCTCCTGCGCGAGTACCTCGGCCACTGGCAGATTTTGAGACGGTGCTGCGGCGTCCAGGCGTCCAAGGCGCGGACGGACGCGCTCCACGGCCTCCCGCCGCGGCGGCCCGACGCCTGCGCCGGCCGCGACCTCGACGCCGTCGAGGAGGCGCTCTTCAACACGTCGCTCTGGCGCTGGCGCTTCGCGGACGCGGGCGGCGACTTCTTCCCGGACGAGCGCGCGAGAGTGCGCCGCGGCGTCTGCTGCTACTCGACCGTCGCCCTCCGCAACGGCGCGGGCTTCCGGGGGAAGTGGCGGCCCGACGCCGACGCCGCGGCCTACCTCCGGGCCCACGGCGACCCGCGCGACGCGCCCGCGGACGCGGACGCCGCGTGCCGCCACCGCAACTTCCAGTCGACCCACGCCGACCCCGTCAAGTGCCTCGGCGCCGACGGGCGCGTCGCGGCGTGCCCCAGGCGGGAGCGCGCTAAGGTGTCATGACGAGCGCGCCCCGCGCGCGGCGCTAGACCACACCCGTCCGTCCCTCGAGAGGAAAAGGCCGCGCACGCGCGCGCGCGATCGGCTGGGCGGCGGACCACGGTCGCTAGACCTTTTTGACGTTTGCGACCATGTTATCCTTCACCTCATAGTAAGCCCCTCTTGGCGAAAGTCCCCCAGCCTTTGAGCATGACGGACGTGCCATCGTCCGCCGTGACGTCATCGTGCAGTACTCGGGCGTCACCTACCAAACGTGTCGGTGACGATGTGCCATTGTCTTACCGCCGGAATTCTCTCATAATCGTCACGACCGCGCTGGGCGCCGCGTAGGTGATCGTGCCATAAGCCATGTCGCTTCAAGGAATGCACTCGCCTGCTGACTTCGTTCGTTTTCAAACCGTTGGCGCGTCAAGATCGGCGGCGTGTTGCACTGAACTTGCAGCTGAGCGAACATAAACGGGGCCGATGAACCGTCCCTCGGCGCCAACGTGCTAGCGTGCTGCCCGGCATCCCGTCGCGCGCGTCGCAGTCGCGTCGCCGTCGCACCCGGCGCTCCATCCGGCACCGCGACGCGACGCGCGCGCGCGTCGCGCGCGCTCGACGACCGCGACCGGGGCTGCCCCGCGCGCAACGGTTTAACGCCATGGCGCTCGAGGCCGTCTGCGGCGAGCTCTGCTGCCCGATGACCGGCGAGCTCTTCGTCGAGCCCGTCATCTTCCTCGACGACGGCGCGACCTACGAGAAGAGCGCCGTCGAGCAGTGGCTCGCGTCGCTGCCGTGCCTCGGCCTCGGCGGCGCGGACGTCGCCGCGCGGCTCGTCGCGGTCAAATGCGTGCGCCGCGCCGTCGAGCGCGCCGTCGCCCGCGGCGCGTCGCTGCCGCCGGGCGCCCGCGGCGCCTGGTGCGTCGCCGCCGTCGCCGCGGCCGCGCGGACCTTCGCGCGCGGCGCCGAGCCCGCGGAGCTCGACCGCGTCGTCGCCATCGTCCGGAACGTCGGCGGCGACGAGCGCCTCTCCTACGGCACGGCCTGCGACTTGTTCGGCGACGCCCTGCCGACGCACCGGCGCGTGCGCCTCGCGGCGGCGCTCGCGCTCCAGGACCCGCGGTCGACGCGAGCGGCGCTCGCGCGCGGCGTCCGCCGGTTCCAGGCGGCCGCGCGCGCGGCGGCGTCGCGCCGGCGCCGCCCGCGCACGCCGCGGCGGACGAGGCGCGCGGCGCCGCCGGCGTTCCCCGCGCGGCTCGCGGCCGAGGCGGCGCCGGGGACGGCGGACGGGACGCCGCCGCGGCCCGCGGAGACGCCCGTCCGCGCGCCGGAGCCCGTAGACGAGACGCCGCGGCGCGCGCGGCGGTCCGTGTCCTGGGCCGACAGCGACACGTGCTCGTCGCCCTGCTCGTCGCCGGAGCTCACGCCCCACCGGCCGCGGTCCGTGTCCTGGGCCGACTCGCCCCCGGCCCACTCGCCGGAGACGACGCCCGTCCGCGACCGGAGGCCCGCGAAGCCCGCGCCGCGCGACGAGCCCGCGGCGCGCGAGGAGCCCGCGCCGCGCGACGAGCCGGCGCACGACGAGCCGCCGGAAGAGCCGTCGCCGCCGCGCGAGGAGCCGTCGCCGCCGCGCGAGGAGCCGTCGCCGCCGCGCGACGAGCCGTCGCCGCCGCGCGACGAGCCGTCGCCGCCGCGCGAGGAGCCGCCGCCGCCGCGCGACGAGCCGCGGCCGCCTCCGCCGGCGCCGCGCGCGGTCCCGCCGGCGCGGCGCCCGCCGTCGGAGGCGCCGCCGGCGCGGCGCCCGCCGCCCGAGGCGCCGCCGGCGCGCGAAGACCGCGAGCGCGCGGCCCCGCGGCGCCGGCCGCGGCCGAGGGCCGCGGCGCCGGCCGCGGCGCTCGACGTCAGCATCGACGTGCCCGCCGAGGAAGCCTACGCGGCCGCGGCGGCGCCCGCGGCCGCGGCGCCGTCGCCCCGGGGCGCGCCGTCGCCGCGGGGCGCCGCGTCGCCGCGGACGAGCCTCCGCGACGCCGTGCGCCTCGCGCGGCGCCGCGCGGCGGACGGTGAGCGCGCCGCGGCGACGGTGCAGCGCGCGTGGCGCCGCGGCCGCGTCCCCGAGGCCTTCGAGACGCTCTCGGAGCGGACGGAGGCCGCGTCCGACGCGGAGCGGACCGTCGCCGACGCGCCGGCGCCGCGGCCCGCGTCGTCGCCGCGCGTGCCGTCGCCGGCCGTCGCGGCGGCCGAGGCGAAGCGCGCCGCGGGCCGCGCGCGCCGCGCGTCGCGGACGGCGCGGCCCGCGCAGCCGCCGCCGCCGCCGCCGAAGCGCAAGGCGCGGACGGCGGCGCCGCAGAGCGTGTGGATCCCGCCGGAGACGCCGCTCCCGGCCAAGTCCGCGGCGGCGCCGGCCCCGGAGGCGGCGAAGGCGCGCCCGGTCGGCCCGATCGCCGCGAGCCCGGCCATGGACGAGTCCATCGACCTCGCGGG